TAAAGTTCTTTAAAATAGGGAATGAATCGTTTCTTGTCATTGTAAATTTGGATAATGTTGGACAGGAAACTGTAGACTTAGTTATTTACAAGTGAAGGAACAACTTGTTTGATAAGTTTTCGGAGATACTCCCAACCCTTAGAAAGTTTGGAGGGGCCACGTCATTTGCGATTAAGAATAAAACGTTTATTAGCTTTCGCGGGTACTCTGCTGGAGGTGAGGAAGTGTCAGGGACGGGGTTCTCCAGACTACAAACCATGCAAAAGTATGAAGCTCGAGATGTCAAGACGTTTCAAATGAATGGTCAAATATTCCTGCAAACTAAATTGGTGATGGAAGGAAACCCAACATTTTTACGTGGAATGGAAATGAGTTTGTTTCAGTCCAGTCACTTTTTACTTTTGGAGCCACTGCCTGGCATCCATTTGTGACGCACGGTCAAACCTTCCTGGGTTTAGCCGATATATACTTATGGAAAGTCAATTGTGTATCAGGCCATTGGATCAAGGTTCGTGAAGTATCAAGAATTTCAACTCAGTGGGCTCATGGTACAACCGCATTTGTGCAGGGAGGTCACACATGCCTTGTTATACAAGTTCAACTAAATATGTTGCCTATGAAACTTTTGTAGAGCAAAGAATAAACCATTTAACATCATATGTCAACGTTACGTCTGTAGTAATTGATCACTAAATATATGTATAAAAGTTGAATTTCAAGGCTTTTTTATAACACATTTTGGTCAGTACCAGCCTTAACTGATACAAGATAAAACGTAAGATATCAATAAACGAAAGATAGCCTGCGAATGCAGCAGTCTCTCCTGGCTCCTCGCCACTGGGGACGTTTCGCGGGGAGTTGAGAAACGTCTGCGATTCGGCCCTAAAAATTCCATACTCATGGCGCAGATTTGTTTGGCTTCTGGTCAACGAGCGCTGATTCGTCGACGTAGTATTTTTATTCTTTCAGCTGTTGTTTTACAATGAAAGACTAAACAAAAAAGATCACATGAAAGATCAAATGAAAACGCCATGAACCTAGTAAAAAGCATTCTTATTCCTTTCTACAGGAAGCATTAGGGCTTTGCTACGGCTTGTTACTTCGGCGGAGCGCGAAGTAAAGGATTCCCGACGCTCAGGAATATGTCAAAGTTGCCTATTTTTTTACAAGATTGGGCACGCAAAGTCTGTAGGTTTTCGGTTTTATTCGGCTATTTGACGTAGTGAGAGCCGAATTAATTCGAGATATCTCGAGATCACTTCGATTTCTTTGATTTATTCCTTAAATTTTTCGAGGAAGAAAGAATTATTATTTTGGCTTTCTCGGGGTTTGAACCGACTCACCTGTGTGACCCGTCGGATCAGAGGAGACTCTAAGTTGAGGGTTTAGCCGATTGCGCTAATGGGACCCAAGGTAGTTTGGGATATAAAAAATAGTTATGAAATTATGCACTAGTTTCGGGACAAGATTGGGCGTGCAAGTTCGTGACTTTTCGGCTTGTTTCGGCTATTTCACGAAATGAGACCGGACTACTTTGGATCGGGATATCTTGAAATCAATTCGAGTTTAGTCTTTAATTTACTCGAGGAATAAATAGAGGACATTGCGTGGCCGCGCAGAGACACGAAATTTCTCTTCGAGTGTTGAAAAACATTTCACGAGTGAGCCCTCCTTTCGAACTGTTTTATGATGAATTTAAAGTTACAAAATGCTGCACAAGGACATTTTGTCTTTGTTGAGTGTTACGTAGTAAAATCATGCGTTGCGTGACCTTCTCGAACGTTCTGTACGTTTTTGGATTATCATGAATAATTAATTAGGGCATGTTTACATTTCAGAATGAGTCAGCAGATTTGCATCAGTTACTGAAATCACAAAATATATCGAAAAGCTACTACTATTCGCCTGTTTAGTATTTTCTAGAACCTTATGTCAACCGGTATACAAGTTCCAAGCCAGTTCTTTTGAAGAACTAAGTTTTTTCCCACGAGCTGAACTGCCGCGTTTAGTCAAGCGTGACGAAGGTCGATTTTCAAGTTCTGTGTTTACAAGTTGGTGGAAGCCGTAAGATATCTGAAGTTCAAGTGAGAGTTTGTTATTATTGGCAGAGGCTGTTTAGTTTTACTTAAGTTCAAGTCAAGTTTGTGTTGGCGGATGCTGTGTTTTAAAGCTCTGTAAAGGCTATGTTCCTCTGGTATTAAACTTCCTTGTGTTAATCCGACTTCCCTGCGTGCTGATAGTCAGTGAGTAATTATCCTCAAAACATTCGAACTCGGAACATTAAGTTTTAGCCAATTCCGTGCGCAACATAATTGACTCCTTACCCATGCCTTACATATCTTTAATCAGTACATGAGATTGCTATGATGTTTTTTAAGCCTGAATGTGACTAAAAAAAAAAAAGAATTCTTTTTTCACTGTTTGTTTTGTGAGACTTGTTATTCACCGCCAGTAACCTCATATTTGACTTAGGTCTATACGTTTAGAGCCAAGTCAAATTTAGAAGGATTTGTATGGAGTCATCAGAGCATAACTGGGCTAACATCTCAGAGACAATTTGCCCCGAAATGCTAGTTTTTGGCAAGTAGGCCTCTTGGATCTTACCCTTTTCGGAATATCCTGACAAATCCCATAACTTCACAAATTAACACCTTACTCTTACCATATTTCATTTCTTACAAATTCCTCCGCATTTACAATTAATCAGTTCCACAACCACGACGCCGAAGTGTACGCTCCATGGAGTCTCGTCCGGAGAAGAACTCAAAACTTTACAATAATAGACTAGAAGAAAAACAGAACATTGTGGCCAATATGTTTCTTCACCCAAAAAAAAAATTGAAAAGTTTTATACTGAATTTCCAGATATAGTCAAGTCCTCTTTAGCGAGAAGCATATCCTAGCTTTTATTTCGTGTAAGAGATCGTTTTGCACACCAATATAGCCGCCGTGACGTCATGTCAAAACGATCTATAGAACTGAGTGGAATCCAATTTGATCTGTTATATAGCACTCGGTTAATCCAGTATTGTCAGCACGGCTATTATCCTTTAATTTCCCAGAACTGTCCAATTTGTGATTTAATCATAACTATAACAAAATTGTCAAAGCTGATTGGCTATCAACTGCCCTGATTTCAGCCTTAATCATAACTATAACAAAATTCTTAAGTCTAATTGGCTATCAACTGTCCTGATTTCAGCCTTAATAGGACAGTTAAATAGGACAGTACGCGTCATGCCTAAGTAATTGGACAGTACGCTCCATCACGCGCGCGCTTAAATTAAGAACTTGTTCATGCTTAGCGTGCGTATATCGAGTTATGGATGCACGCGGGAAGTTTGGAGAGCACGAAAGATGCGTAAGAGTTGCACGAGGCAATAGCCAAGTGCAACTCTAGCTTCTTGAGTGCTCTCCAAACTTCCCAAGTGCATCCATAACTCGATATACGCACATGTACAGCTAAAAGCATGAGCAAATTCTTTTATAACATAGCTGTCAAAAATGCTTGCTTTTCGATTAACTACAAAATTCTCGTAACGCGCGACACAATAACAAACGCTTCTATTGGCTGATTACAAACACGCCACAATGGTTTAGTTTGAATGGAAATTCTTTCTGTAAAACTGAGAAAGAAAATTTGCTTATTTATTCGTTAACTATCAATGAAAACTAAAAAGAAACAAAGGAAAAAGAGTCTTAAAGTCCGCCTGAAGAGAAAATACTCACATGTTCGTAAGAAGTCGTGGAGTACGGTTTGGATTTGGTTGAAAGATGTTTATGTTTGCTCGGCGAAATCCAGAAAACTTGTTTTTCAGCGAAGACGACTGTCATCCTACGTTAACCTTATATTCATTTACGAACAATGGCTGGTGATTACGGCTTCTTGAGAAGACCCGGCAGCAGTTGTTTTTGTGAGTAATAAATTCATGTCTCCTTGTGTAATTTGTCTTGTTATTGCAAGAGAAATTTTCCTGCTTCAGTCGGATTGTTCGGCGATAACAAAAGTGTATAATTTTTTGCTGTTGAGCTTACTTGAGCTCATACTGAGCGTGCGTAAATAAAGATTTTGCAGAAACCCATGAGTTTCTGGATTTTGTTCATAGCGGCTCAATAGGACTTATATAGGGCAAGCACGCGCGCTATGTTATAATGGCTTTTTTTTTTCACTGCTAGCAAAACAAAATTTCGAATTTCTTGTGTTTTGATTTGAAAAATAGCGTATTATATCACAAATTTTGTTAAAGTTATGATTAATTGGTAACAGAACTTCGTGTCGTCCAATTCGGTCTGTAATCATAATCACTCGTATGATTACAGACCGAATTGGACTCCACTCAGTCCTGTTACCATTACAAATCAGGGCAGCTGATAACCACTCAGGTTAGAAAAATTTTGTTATAGTGATTTATTTTACCGTAGTTTTAGCGCAAAGGAACCTATAGTGACGATATAAGTCATCAGAAGTAAAATCACTTGAGAAACTGCCTCGTATACCCAGACACTACTTTGGTAGTCTCGGCGCAAAGATCATGGGAAAGCTTCAAAAACACAAAGGCACAAGGGAGGGCTTCCCGTGTTTCGTCTTTCCCATAACCCCTTATGCTGCCACTTCCCTCGAAAATCCCAAGAACCGCCTGGATACGAGGCAGCTTGAGTGATGCTTTCACGTTTGTGCGCTCTTCCACCGGGGTGAAACGTTTAAAGCGTTTCTTGTTTTAATCAGTTGAACTAAGTGGAAACAGAGGCAAGGATGTATCGAATACTTTGTTATTATAACTATCTTTTATTTTTTCCGCAAAATAACAAGCTTCTTATCGCTGAAAACGCTTCGCGCCTGAGCAACTTGTTTACTTCAATTTATACGAAAAAACACTTCAATAAAATAGCACTTTATGCCAAAAATATTAGGTATGGAGCAAACGCACCGAGGAGGAAATTTCAATATCCAAACCTTAAAAAAAATAATAAGATTTAAAGTGCTTATTCAATCGAAAGCTATCGAATATTTCTTTTTACAACGTTTGTATTTCGTACAATGTTAACTGTTTGTTTCCTCCTTTTCTACTTTCTTCTTCTTTTTTTTTGTGGTGTTTAAAGCACGTCTGACTGTGACAGACCTAAAATTATTAAAACTATTTACATCGCCGCAAAAATATCAGAAATATTTCCATCATTGTTACTTTCTATTTAGGGCTGTCACTGGAGAGCTGCCGTGTGGTTCTTTTGAGCTTTTTTAAGTTATCGTGGACATTTTCACTTCGCGGATCCAGCTTCAGAGCCTTTCTGTAGTATTTACCGGCTTGCTCGTGTTTCCCCCCATCTGTGATATAACACTCCTGTCAAGTAAAAAAAGACGATAGTGTTATATCTTGAAATTAATTTGAGACTGCATTAATGCACAGATACAAGTTACTTATTTATAAAAGCAACAGTAGATAACAACCGAACGGTACAACTAGCTATTTCATTAGCGTTAATAGCTATTACTGTAAACACAGACTCAGAAGTTAGTATTATCTTGAACATCATAATAAAGACACCCACAGCAAAGAACTGCTCAGTAGCTTTTATCTGAATGGTCATGTCACATTGTAGGATTTCATGCCCAGTTAGAACCATTTTTACAGCAAAATAACCAGAAAGAGTAACAACTCGAGGAATTCTTACCAAGATTTCCATAAATTTCCGCTGAATTAGGTTTTAGCTTCAAAGCTATTAGGAAGTGTTTCTCAGCCTCCTACAAAGGAACAAATATTTATTCAACTTTACTTTAATTTCCCTCATTAAATATTCGTCAAGTATGCAGAGAAATGCAGGCTAAGGTGGTGTTTACATGACACTGGGGCGACTTTCGCCCCGGAGCGAGTTCACTGCGGTTCCCTCTCATGGCTCTATATTTATTTAAATGATACCACCACAAAATTTTATGCCGGTGCGAGTCACCCCGGCGTGAGTTTACCCCAGTTCTCTTACCGGGGCGAGATTTCCACTCCGGTACGAAATCTCGCAACGGTATCATGTAAACGTCAAACGACCACCCGTTTCGGTGTGAAATCGGTCTGCCAGTAGATTGGAACAGGGTAGCGCATGCGTAATGTTTGCGATTTTGAAGCACACGTGTATTTTATCAACATGAAATGTTACTTTTTAACAAAGAGATATGAAATGACCCAATCATCATGTAAACGCGATACGAAATCAAAGTCATCCCACTCATGTAAACAACCCCTAACAGGATAAGCGAACTTGAATACGCTTTGGTTTTCGGGTTCCTAACTTTAGCCTGCGCCACAGACGAAACTTAACTCTAGACTGTTCACAGTCCCCTATTTTCCCGTAAGATTGTCGAGATCGAGCGCTTTGCGTTACGGGCTGCCATCTTGCATGAGTGTCAAAACTACTTAGGGGGCGGGGGCGGTTTTGGAGGAAGAGCTATAATCCCTGACGCCCGCCCCTCGGTACATTTGCAAATCAAGATGGCCGCCATTAATTGTAAGACGCGCTAGATCTCGACGATCTCACGGAAAAATAGGGGACTGTGAACAGTCTAACTTAACTCCGGTTAAGTCTGGTTACTAACTGGGGTGACACAGGCTATACTGACTAAATGCAATTTAAAATTCCTTGACATGTTGAAAAAAAGAGAATCAATTACTTGGAGAGTTTTATGGGGAGAACATTGAGAAATAGACATGTGTCCATCATTCATCGTGTGCAGCAGGCAATAATCAACGATCTAACCAGATGCCAACCTATGGTCTCCACCCTTCCCTCTCTTTCCTGTTTCTCTCTCCACTCCACCCTCCCCGGGAGCGTGTTGCTATAAAAAAATTCATTAAGCACGAGAGACGCTGCGTTTGAACTGATCCCTCTCCCCGCAGAGGCAACTTTATTGAGGAGGGGGGGGGAAAAAGCGCGGGGACGATTTCCCGCCTATTTTCTCCTCGCATTATACCCGTGTCCTGTTTATTCTTGAAATACCAGTGGAAGCCTCTACGGGGAACACAGAACCAGACCTAAAATCCCCTTCACCGGCGTCTTTAAATTGTCTGATCCTAGTGTAATTCTGTAACGAACCACATACCACAAACTCATCTTTCTGTCCGAGCATGTTAGCAAGGTTGAAATGAACTGACGGCTCGTTAGGAATGTGGCTTTTAGCCTCTCTGATCACTGTTATCGCCGCATCTCTGTTACCTAGAAAGGGAAACCTGCCAGGCGTTACCTTAAAAATAAACTCGTCTGTCAAGAGACGTTACTTCGCACAAGATTTTTTTTATTGCATCTAGCTGTGAGCGACCAACTAAAAAGCCAGGATTGTGTGGTTGTCTAAGTGAGGTGGAGGTTTGCGAGAGTTTTGTTACTGGGGATCCGCCAGTAAAGGGACTGACTCATTTGAAGATCTAAGTAGGGGTAGGAGGAGATTAATTAACTGAAAATACCCTACTATGCAAAAAATGTTTTTCAAGACTGTAGTTTAACCCTTGCAAGTTTTCCCACACCTTACAATAATTTCACTGTTTCCTTTAAGGGTTAAGAGGGTAATTAATCGTCACTTGCTCGGAATAGTCATCATCTGAATAAAAAACCTGAGGCCGACGTTACCCTCATTTTATCCTCCCTCCCACAACTCTCTCCCTCTCCACCAGTGTTCCGTTTAGTTTTACGGGTATTTCAGTTCCTACACGGAGAGGACAGACGTCAAACAAGGATCGGAAGTCATAAATGGGAATCGAACTCAGGACCTCTAGCATAGAAGGCCTGGCACTAACCAACATGAACTAAGCTGAATCCTTGCTCCTGCGCTCGAAAAACGTTTGCTTAAGTTCTTTTTCACTTTCCTAAAAAGTGAGTTTTTTCTCCTTTCCCTTACAAATCGAAAAAAAATTCCATGGTCGGCACTCAAGTGAAACCACGATCAGCAAACGAATGGTTTCACTGCAAATTTTTGAACGTTTTCGCGTCATTTCTATGATCGATAAGAGTATGGAACATGGAAATTTATTGTCGATTTGTCTTGTACAATAACATTAAGAGTCTTTGACGTCCACTCGTTAAATAATTCTCCACAAACTGCGCGCAAGAGAAAGAGAAAAACAAATTGCGCCACCGTCACTTAATTTCCATCACGTCGGACCATTGGCATAGTTTTGGTGAAGCATCATAGAAATATATTTGCGCAAGGGAAAATCTTAGAAAAAAAATTCATGCAGGCCGAGTACCCCCAAAAAATATTCCCGCTCTGGCCTAAAAAAATTCAAGCAAAGGGAAATGTTCACGAAAAAAAATTGATGTGGTTCGAAAATTCCCCATCCACTCTCCCCAACCTCATAATTATTCTAATGGTCCGTCCGTTATCGACGGTTATCGACCATAGCTCTCGACCAATCAGCACAAAAAAATCGCTCAGTTACCGTAAAATCCTTCCTCCCCACCCGTTAAAAGGCCCCTTGCAGACATTTACCTGACTTTTCTAAGAGCAGAGCATGATTCATCCAGGCACCCACATGATCGTTTTTTAAATTGATGGCTGTTTTAAATGCGGCAATGGCTTTTACAGTTTTGTCTTGATCGATGTACTGGAGGAGAAGATTTTAAGGTCAGTATAAATACGCATGGAAAAGCAATGAATGGGAAACTATCCAGGGTTCACGTAAAAGGATTATATCATTGTATCTGCACTGCTTGCACTGTGCATTTTGAACGTTTAAAAACTATTGTCCTTTTTTTCTTACCAGATTTCCAAGGTTGAAAAAAGCGTCTGGATATCTTGGTCTGTATTTTATAGCGTTGCTGTAGCATTTTTCGGCTTCCTAAGAAACAAATTTTGTAGGATCAGAGAGTTCGAAGTTGTGCGGAAGAAATAATCGTGCAGAGAGAATCAAAGGAAAGAAATAGGAAAAACTGGCACAAGACGAGGCACAAGTTCGATTTGAGTATACCCTTAATTCTCTCTCTGCTAGATTGACTCACCACCACCTGCGCGCCTGGCCGCTCTCCGGTTGTTACACAGAAAAATAAAGCTTGCTGGAAGGTCAAATCGTAATCAATAATTTGTGGAAACATGAATAAAGCTATCAAACTCACATCTTCTTTGTGCAATGCTGCCTTTACGGTGCCTAAGTTCATCCAGCCCGCCGCAAAGTTATTCCTATACACAAGAATGACGGCGTAAATAAGTTATCTCAGACCCGGGGGGGGATACTCCCTTATATAAGCTATATAGGTATGTGCCATCTCAGCAAAAAAGCAAGACATTAGAGTTTTAGATCCGAGTTTACCGCGAACCTCTAACCGCGGCTTGCGGTTACCCGTTTGCGGTTCGACGTTCAAACATAATTCGATTTAGATTGACGGTGGATTAAATTACGGCCGCCATTTTGAATCAGCAGCCATGAATGGCACTTGTTTTCAAGATCCAATAGGATTTACAAAATTTAACATATCGCCCGAATTTGTGTCTCTCTTAATGGATAAGACTTGCTCCACAAGATTTTTGTATCAACACGTTGGATGAAACAAGAATTATACGCTAAAAGCTTTCAGGTAAATGACATACGTGAAAACCTACCTCCCTACGTTGAAAACGCACGTCGTAAACCTCAAACGTGACGCGAAAGACTTGTCACGTGACCTCCAGCGCTTAGAGGTTCGCGGTAAACTCGGATGAAAACTCTCTATTGGGACTTTAGACATCTTCCTATTTTACATTATATTTACATTATTTAGGAAATGTGATTTGAAATAAACGCCACCCTTGAATAATCGCCGCATCGAAAAGGCTTAAACTTTAACAAAGGCCGCAGCGTTTAATCGAAAAATACGGTATTAAATCAAATTCCACTAATGACACCGATCGTATCGTTGTTGGCCTCTCTATTAGCTTTTCAACAATGAACAGGAAAAGTTGAGGATTCTGGCCTTCTGGGCCAATGCATTTTGGCGATCCGAGACGAAAGAGCCACGTGACCTGAAACGTACAGGCCGCGCGGAATAATGAGGCTACAGTTCGGCAAGGTTCTAGTAAGTACTCGCGCGAACACGATCTCGCGCACCTTGTACAATGTACGGGTCTCAAATAGGGACCTTTGGATAACACTTCGAGTTTTCAAACCAAAATCGTGTGCATCATACAATTACTTATCACACCAATCTGAACCCTATAGTTTACTAATGTACTAGTCAGCAACAGGGAAGATTTATAGCCGGGGGATATAATTACCTCAAAAATCCTAAGTCGTAACTTTCTCATAGTCAATTGGGGGGATAGGGAGGTCCAAACCTGCCAACTCCTGTACCTTGCGTTCCCGGCTCCTGCCCCTTTTTTTCTTGGCTTTCTCCCACCAGCTCTTTTTTCGATTACGAAAGATTGAGTATTGTTGCATAATTTCCCCATATTTTCCCCTCCCCGCCCTTTAAAACACCCACTTCCCACTCTTTCCTCTCCCGCCTCCCGTACCCCTTCTGTCCCCTAATTCTCCAGGCTCCCACCCCCTGTCCTCCCCCGTTAGTCAAATGTTGAGGTCACTAATGCGTTTAGAACTTCAAGTGACTTCAAATTAGAGAGAAAAACGCTTAAGTATAACATTGCAAAAAGACTAACCTTATTTCGACAGCTTTTTCTAACAGTGCTTCAGCTTCTATATATCTTCCATCATCCTTAAAAAACATGTTTTTTACACTAAAATTTTAAAATTAACTCATTTCAAGTCTACAAATAAATTACAACTTCAGACAGCAATTTTGCAAAACCAAGAAATAGCCTCCTTCTTCTAAAGGCAACGCGAGTAAATCGTGATTATTACAGAGCGATCTAAAAAGTTCCAAAAGTTCTGAATTTTTTTCAGGCTTCTTACGCAATTGCATAAATTGCGTTCATAACTGCGAGGACCACTCTTCATTTGATTTAGTTTCCGCAGTTCTTATATGATTTATTTCACATACATCTATCTCATTCATCTCTTGAACACACAATTGACTAGCTCCCAACATCAGTGGCTTCACAGCTCAGTTGGTTAGAGCATCGCACCAGTATCACCAGGTCACGGGTTCAAATCCCGTTGAAGTCCTGAATTTTTTCAGGCTTCTTACGCAATTGCATAAATTGCGTTCATAACTGAGAGGATCATTCTTCATTTGATGAATGGAAAACTTTTCAAACAACCTCGCGAGTTGTACCCAGTTTTTTGGTTGAATCGATCGCCTTCGATCATTAGTAGCTTTTCGGGTTTTAGATGAGTTTCCTATTTGTTTTTTCTCATTTCATTTTGGTCGAATAGAAAGGGCCGAAAAATCAAAAAGCTAGAGAATCCATTCTTTTTGCAGGGTTTGTATCCCAAGAAAATCATTCTGTAGTCACCTCCTACGATTGACTTGCTGCGATGCAAAAATCCGCCATGGGGTCTTTTTAGCGATCATTACAATGACAAATATGAGCTTGGTGTGATCTTGCTTCTCGCCAGAGGATCATTTTTGAAAGGAATCTTTATTGCAATGTTCACTGCCACAAAAACTAAGTACGCATATTTTGGAGTATTCACATGTTTACTACCTCTCCGTTATTGAACGTCTCATGTGCGTCAAAAATAAAATACATGTACGTAACATGCTGTACAAGGACGTCATACCTTGATAAGGTTTCCCGAATTGTTTAAAGCTTGATCGTATGTTGGGTTTAACCTGCCATTTAAGGGAATTAAAATCGGTTGATATCATTCTAGTCTTTTTTTTTTCAGACATGCACTGTTGAAGGTAGTGATTAATTGTCGTAGAACCTGCATGCTTTAGAACAACAAAACTTTACTAGAAATACGCGAATCGCATAACCTCGGGCAGCAAGGGAGAAAATTAAGGGAAAAAAGCCATTAGGGTAGAGAAAATATATGAAAAAATGCAAACAAAACAAAACAAAAAGAAAGGAAAAGAAAAACGAGCTCTTCCAAGAATCAAGCACAGTACATCCTTTGTATTGGCGCAATTCTATACGGTACGTGAGGATATGTCCAATCTGAAATAAATATTTCTTTAAAACATTACCCGTGGAACTTCCGCAGGCAAGGGCCGTTCCCGAAACCTTTTCATGCTTGGATAAAACTGCAGGCTATTTTTTTTATTGTTAAAAACACTCAAACGAAACTTCATTTAAGTACAGGGAAGAACTATCATTTGACTCGACGTCAATTAACAAGAAATAAACCAGTACAATGAGTGTTTATCATTTCTCACTGATTTCTACACGGTACCTGATTGCTTCTCTATAAAACTTCTCAGCAATCACTGCCTGTCCTTTTTCAGCTCTCAGCTTGCCAATGTTGTAGTGAACCTGTTGAAGGGACAAAAATGATCATAAATATACTAACGTCTAAAAGAGCTACAGCGAAATTCTCTCATACGCAACCAAGTCAAAATGCCAGGAATAGGTGGTTACAGGGAACAGGGGCTAGTTCACGCTATTTGCTATTCTTTCAAAAAAAAAAAAAGAAGCTAATAAACGTTTTTCGCATTAATTGAATTCCAAAATTAACTAGGTCCCGTTTTGTTGTTTAAGACTGCTGTTTCCTGTCGTCTGTTTTCCAGCTCTAATGACATGCCCGCGAGAATCACCAAGACGAATTACTAAGGTTTGTGCCTCGTCATAATTTTAAAGAAGCATTTTGTGTATGGGAAACGGCACTAAGTAATTTTTTTTTTTGGCACTTTATTGGGGCAAAACTGCAATCACGAAAGAATTAACAAGAAGATATATGATTAAAGAAATAAAATAAAAATAATTAATTATAATCACAAGAATAATTAAAAAACAATTGCTCATCCCCAAAAGGGCAAGTGCAAACGGGACCCTAGACCCATGCAAGGCACTGCCCTGATGTTACTTACAATTACAATTTCAATTACAATGCTGATGAATAGCTTATTTTACCCTTGAAAAAAAATTAATTCAAAGCCTAGATGTACGTTAACAAAAAAAGTGAATAAAAACAGACAAGAAAGTGGATGTGTTAGGCACAGTCACTTCGACCTGTGACTTAAGCACAGAATTGTCCTTCCGTCCTGACACAACAGGTCCAACAATATCCACCTGACATAGCCCCCTTTTTCTGGAAGAGGTCACTTCCTAGAGTTTTCCACCTTGACTGGCAAGACTGATTACTAACAGTATTTTGTATAAATGGTCCCTTATGGGAGGTCTTGCTAGCAGCAATCATGACTGTGAGAACATCCCTTCAGCTATTTCATTTACCTTGGCATTGAGTGGACAAACAGTGAGTCCAGAAGTGAATAAAGTGTCTTCATCAACCCATTCTGCGGATCTCTGAAAAAAGGAAGAAGGCAATATAAAAACAGCCACGACTCCAAGAACGTTTTCAGGCGAACACCAGAGGGACAAATCAACGTGTCCGTATTATGGAGAAGCTCAAAATTTTATAAGCTTTCTACAGGGTTCTCTTTAAGTGCTGGGAACTGGCTAAAAAACCGACTAGGTTTGAGCCACATACTTTTTGGGAAAAAGGGTAAAGCAAGGCCGAATGCAAGCCTGAAATTAACTACAGAACTTGATTGCTAAGCCACGTACATTTACATCCTAGCTGTATACTTTAAAACTTAGTGAGAGCCCTGAGCTCATTATCTTTTGACAGGGGGTGCCTGTATCATAGTAGTATCAGAGGGAGAAAGGGTATGACCAAGACTTTAAGTCCATGAAATCTGAGGCAAGAACTGGCCCCCACGAAGATTTCTTAGGAATTCGCCACAAGTCCCTTGCCTAACCTGGAAACGTCTGCATAGGAAGCAAGTCAAAGCAAATTACGTAATAACTTTTGGTACAGAATATAACATGGTGATATAGATGGTAAAAACATGGATGAAAGGGAGACTGCAATGCAATTACACCCTCACTCTTTGATTGTCTAACATCAGGCTTAATTCCAGGCACCCCTTTGATATGATTATCTGAGGCTCTACGAGCAGAAGGGTCATTTTTCTTACCTGTACTGTTCAAGCCATGTACAAAGCTATCAGTGCACCAACAGTAAATCCTAAAACCTACAGGTGCAGGGCAGCAGAAAATATCAAATAATTAAGAGGCTGTCCGCGTAAGAACCGATAAGGCAAATTTCGGTCTATCACGGATTGCCCTGATTTTTTCAGTGGAAGATGACTATCCTATCCCATGAAGAAATATCACATTTATTTGGACCAACTCAATTTTTTCTCTATTTTACAGGAAGATTTTCTCGGTCACCTAAAACTAGTCAGTTTGCCGTCGGAAGTAGTGCGATTTTGGTGAAACTTTAGGGCTCTGTCAAACCTACCTTACATAGCCGAATAATCTGATTATTTTACACACAAAAGTTTTAACTCTCATTAATAGTTTCAATGTTTAATGGTTGCATTCTGTGAAAAGTTGGCTGAGATATGATTTTTTGAAAATGACCTTTAATTTGCTCAGCAGGAAAAGTAATTTGCATAACTAGAGCTGAACGGTAATTTCGCAAAAGTGGCACCTGACCCAGACTCAAGTCTATGATAAATCAGAAGTACTAAGACCAGTCTACTTCTTAACGCAATAAAATTTGTGGGCACTCTTCTTTGCGTGCCGTGCAAAGTTCCGTTAATGGTCCAAAATTCGCCATTTTGACAGCAAAGCTGGAATTGTAACGGGTCCGCATCTGATCCACTAATTTCCACAGCTTTAACGTTTCCAGTTATCACTAAATATCATTAGACCCTTTAAATGTTGGACGTTTGAAAACATTTGGAGAAAACTTAGTAATCGCTTTTCCCTGGGTCTTTTTCTTGTCGACGATGAACGTGACTTCGTTCTCGGTATGCAAATTAGCCTTAGAGGCGTTGTTTTCAACAAATTGACAGGAAATATAATCGTTACATTCACATTTCTAAGGGGAAAAATAATTCTCCTTTCCACAAAAAAACACAAACCATGACTTAGAATCTCCCTTAAGGTCTGTTTTTTTTTTTAACGAGGAAGAAGCAGCTGAATAATATATCATGATAGATGTTTGCGGCTTAAAATAATTCAATTACTGTGGCATGTCACGCATTCCTGAAGAGGGGTGGTCGATTAGAAAACAATAGCGTTGTGTCGATCAATTCGATCATATTATCATCTTTTTTTTAAATGATAGTTATTGATAATAATAAAAAATAAGAGTTCACTTGCAAGGTAATTCCTCCTGTCAGCACACGAAAATGTTTGGGCACTCTTTTTTGCGTGCCTTTATGAAAAATAGCGTTAACGTCGAAAGTTTTATTATGATATTTGCTTATCGGGAGAAGGCAGATCTTTGTACATGGCACTATGATAAAAAAAAAAAAATGCCCCACACTTTTTCTATCTTAAATTAGCGGTAAATTTCAGTTTCATTCAAAGATCTTTAAAGCGTTTATCGGTAGCTTATCGGTAGCAGAATGAAAAGGGAAAAATAGTTCCTTTTTTCAGTGAATAAACGCAAAAGGGAGTATCTTTTCAGTTTTTGCTAGGGTATAACATCCGAATTCCAACGATGATCTTGTTTTGGTTTCAATCTGATTGAATTATAATGCAACAGGTGCCAGTTTCAAATTAAATATAATTATGTCACTGAAATCGCCGAAGAGATCAATTGTGAAAAATGGCTTTTTCGGCTATTTCATCAAGCAGTTCTTCAGCGAGATCGTAGACAGAGTGAGGTCCCGGAAGGGGAGTGGAGGAAAATGTGTTGGTCACAGAGTGCATAGATGATATTACCTCGCACTTAGCCAGCTGTCACTTGTTTAAGTGTAGCAAGTGTAGCAAAGACAATGAAAATGAACTCATTTTAGCGAGAGTACGTATTCGAGGCTTGGTGGGTATTCGGAACTGAAATGACAATCTGCCCAAGGCACAGACACTGAATAGCCTGTGTACAGACCCCCTCCTCTCAGGAAAAATCGGAGAAGGGGCCGCTTCTCCCAAGGGGGGGAGGGTGGTGTGTACACAGGCTAACACTAAAATGACAATCTGCTTTAGGCACAGGTTTTTGCGAGCGCCAAGGTCTTGTTAGGCTCGATTGTAAGCCGCTGTTCTGGAAAACGAGCCCCCAATGGACGGGGAGAGGGCGGAAATCGAGCCTAAGGTCTTGTCAATACCGCGGTCACACTCTGGATCATACTGGCAAAATAACTTCTGTGGCAGGAAGACACGTCGTAAATTTCCAGATAGCCAGCGAAATAAGTCAAAGTTTTGTTCCATCATTCTTTTTTCTTCTTCATGCAAACAATTGTCTTAACGTACAGAGATATTTTAATTTCTCTATTTAACATTTTATCTTGCGATGTTTTCTGAAGTTCGTTTCCAGTTTATTTGAGCTTGCAAAGATAGTTTTTGTTATTTCTATTTTTTTGGACAGCCGTGTATCTTGCCCTAATCAATTCTTACCTTTAAAATACTATACATACCGGTTAATCCGTGTGTTGTGAAAGATTGTTTTCTGATGATTGTTTGAAGAGCATTATAAATGGGAAAAAAGAACTTTCTACACGGAGTCAGGATTCAACCTCGTCCCCAGGGCTTTCCCGCCCCTGTCATTTTCTAAGACGAATGTCCTGGGGACGAGGCTAGGAGTGATTGTGGTCGAGGTGTCGTTCACGTGTATGAAAAGTATTTCATTCTTGCAATAAAAATAACTTTTTTGAACTTAAACAGTGTTTAAAACATGTCTCTGGGTTTTGTAAAAATTAGAGATACTTAAAAGTACCTTAGTGTTCAGTTCAACTTTATATAGCCGATTTGCTCCTCCTGTCGCAAGAAACTTGAAAAAACCTGACGCCGAAGGGTCGAGAAGAGCACGATTGAACAGTCTGCAACCATGTCCACACATTTGCCGAAGAGGTTTATTGGACAAGATTTCTCTGTTTTTCTTGTTTGATAACGTTTTCATTAAGTCTTCAAAAATGCCTCCAGATTGCTGTTTTTTTTGTTTTGTTTTTGTATTTATACCCTCTTGAACAATGTGCTTCATCTCACCTCTCCATTTTTAACCTACTTTACCATCCACCCTCTCTCCCCACTGTTCCACCTCTACGTTAATAAGCATTTGTATTTAAGGGGGTGAAATTTCTCCCGTATATATTAATTTCTGAAAAAATAAGTCCTTCTACTTTTTCCTTAAATTCTTAAACTTAGTTCTTTTTTCTTTAAGAACCACCAAAGATGCTGCTAAGGCTGCAATAAGCGCACTCGCCCTTTTATATACTTCATCTAGTGAAATGCCCGCCCTTTCATATACCTGAAGCCTGAAAAAGATACTCCTTTCGGGCGGAACCTCCTCGTATAGGCCATCATAGGGAGTTCCCCCCACTCCCGTTCCAATTCCGTGCTCACCTATTGCCAGCCCATGTTGGACTCTAAGCCCGTTTCAGTCAACACGTAAACATAATCCTAAGTGTATACAAGTTGAACTTGACCATAGAGATCTGTTGCAAGAAGACGAGGAGTTCGAAAGGCAAAAGCTTGTTGCAGAAATCGCTGAAGAATTGAGACCACAACACCCTCAACCAGAAGCTTTCAACCTATGTGTATGTCAAAGGAAGAACAACCTAGTCAGTTCAACGTGGTAATGCTAAAAAAATCTTTTGTCACTTTAAAATACCATTCAAATCCAGGGAAAGAAAAGGAGACCTAGTTGACAAACTTTCGTCTTTCATACAAGATTGCACGTGCTTTTCTCCAACAGCTCAGGAGTGAACACATGGATCCTTAATTTAGTGTGATTAACAGCCGGCAAAACTTTTGGGATTTAACAGGAGAAGGACCGTAAACAATAACTATGCCTTTTTCTGCATGCCATTCCTCATTTTTACTGAAATGTTGTTAATTGGCGATAAACACAATGCTCTGTTAATACCACCGTAACGTTTGTATAGCCTATGCAGGGGCACCCAACGGCAATTTTCGGGAAAATATCTGTTCGGAAGACGATTTGAGATCTAGAATTTTCGGAGCATTTGTTGTAAAATTTCTTGCTTGCCTGCCTCTCCTAGGATTTTCGAACATCTACAAAATGGTATAATTACCCATTTTTAAGGGATTTTGACCCTAAAAAAGGCCACCTAGAATTTTCGGGAGCCTTTTCCTGGCTGAAGTTTTCGGGAAGGTAAGTTTTTATCCCTATAATTTTCGGATCACTAGACTTTCAGCTAGGAAATCCGAACAGATGAAAAGTTTTTAGGGGATAAAAATATGCCTATATCTACTGTTTGAATACTAAACTACGTTCAACAATGCTATGTTAAGTGGTTTTGAACTATATCCTCGTTGGGTGCCCCTGCCTATGGTTAGCAAGGGATCTAGGAAATGAAAGTACTTTGCAGGTGTGGTCCTATGGTGTCGCACGGTATTTCTGAAGTTGTTTGCGAGCTATTTCCAAAATATTAATTTTTGATTCTGTAATTGAAAATATTGTGCTAGTGCTCGTGAATAAGAGTGGCCGTGTCCAAGTGACTACTTTGTAGCTAATTGTCGTGTATTACACCATGGGTTGTCATATTAAACCCTATCCTCACGGTGGCTCCCGGGGATACTGACTTAGTTAAAACGGTCGTAGAATGAATAAATACAACAGCACGGTATTTCCCACCCAGTAAAGAATCGGAATTAGCAGTGATTAAGTAATGGTCCGTGTAAGAGGTAGGCAGGCGAACGGCAAAAGTGATTAAAAGGTGCTAACTTTTAATCATTAATTTCAATTAAATCAAGCGTTTTGATTGGCCGAAATCCAAAAATCGCCCAAAAAACAGTCAGAAACGTGACAAAAACAACTTTTTTTAGCTTTATTTTCTCCATACCCCTGTCTTATACCTCACGGCCAAGTTTCAGCATTGTTCTATGCGCCAATCAAAAGTTAGAGCGGAAAACGTGCAACACACGCGCGACCTTGTTGTGACCCCATCTTAGTGTGACACTTGAGATGCTAGGAAATTTGTCTTTTACCCGAAAAAATCTCGTCAATTTCTTCGTGAAAAATCTGCATTTTTTCTTTATTGAATAATTATCTCAAATTTACTGTATTTTATCATCGGAGTGATCGTCAAAATGCTCTTAAACATAGTTTGCTGCCGTCCTCGACATGCCGAGTCGCCATATGGAAATTTGGGCCCGGCGTAGTTGTTTTCGTTGTCAGGCCGGATCAGGAGGAGATCGGAATAATTGTGGCACTAGAAATTGGAGTACAGCTGGGCATAAAAGGAGAAAGCGAAAGATTTGTTGTTTTTACAAGGATGAATTTATTTCTCGAAGAGATGTAGAACACTTGAGCTTGAGGTAAGCTGAATTCAATAGATTTTCGCACCTCCGCGCGCATTATGTGTTATTCATGTGTTTGCCCTTTTCGAAACTTCCATATTCCGTGTATCTTTACCCATCTCTCATTCGATTTTTTTTCTCTCTAGACTGCTTCATCAAGCGAAATGGAAGTTCGCCGTGGACCTTAAGTTAAAATGAGCGAATTGAAATTTGTGACACGTTTGCATTTTGTACCTTTGAGTTCTGAGACGGAGAATACCGAGACGGAAGCCGCTTAGGTATCATAAATAGCTGTCACTGGTGTTTGAGTTTCTCTTGGTACGGAAGATCTAGCGAGCATGACTGTAGCTTGCCTTTATTTTTTCCAAGGACGAAAGAGATTGTAAGAAGGATTTTTAAAGAGTAATATCAAAACCTTGAAAACAGATAAACTGTAGGAGAGCTTTTTCTGAAACCCAATTATCCGAACATGCAGGAAGTTTTTCTATCTGGGCAACATCATCTTTTTTTCCAAAAGCAGAACATTTAGATAACATTTAGATTTGATTTTGTGTACGTGTTGTTGTTCTGTATGGTGGCCGAATATGAACGCGGGACATTGGCGCGTTCGCCAGATTCGCCACGTGAGAGTGAATTGCTGCTGTTTACGATCATGGTTTTGACATTTCTTTTGTGAGAGCCGACGTAAATGTTGTTCCCAACGTCGCTGATTGATGTAACACTGTGCTCATCTTCGTGTAATTTCATATCAGTTTAACTTCCTCGGGTTTGGCGCATAGAAATCTTTTAAATTTTAGATATGTTATATTTTTCAACATAACAAAGCAATAGACGAAATAAAAAGTTGTTCGAATGAGTCTTAAGCTATCTTAATACAACTTTAAAATTCAAATTTCGCGCTTTTCGCTGTATTGACCAATCAGAGCATTCAGATTTAATTTGATTAGAGAAATTAGCGCCTGAAAAATAACTGACGCTATTGCCGCGGGCTATTGTTTTTCTGCCTGCTTCTTAGCTGGACCATTACTTAAATTGTATGATTATCAATAACTATCACTTCAAAAAAAATATAATCAGATAAAAGAACTGATCGATACACAGCCACTCTCGGGGAATGCGTGACGGGCCACAGTAATTAAATTATTTTAATTCGCGTAAACATATCTTCTTCTACTACTTCTTCCTCGTGAAACAGACCTAAGGGGATTCTAAGTCATATATCGTTCGTGTTTTTCCGTGGAAAGTTCTAAGAGATATTTTCCTTAAAAATGTGAAATATAAGCAGTTATGTTTCCTGTCAATTCAATTTGTTGAAACGACGCATCTAAGGCTAATTTGCATACGGAGAATGAAGTCGCGTTCTGATCATCGACCAGGAAAAAAACCAAGAAAAAGCGATTACCAAGTTTTCTCCTCATGTTTTCGAAAGTCCAACATTTAAAGGGTCTAATGACATTTGGTGATAACTAGAAACGTTAAAACTGTGGAAATTAGTCGATCAAATGCGGACCGTTACAATTCCAGCTTTGCTGTCAAAATGGCGAATTTGTAACATTAACGGAACTTTGTACAGCGCGCAGAGAAGATTGCCCACAAATTTTATTGCATTAAGAGGTAGACTGGTCTTAGTACTTCTGATTTATCATAGACTTGAGTCTGGGTCAGGTGCCACTTTTGCGAAATTACCGTTCAGCTCTAGTTATGCAAATTACTTTTCCTGCTGAGCAAATTAAAGGTCATTTTCAAAAAATCATATCTCAGCCAAATTTCCACAGAATGCAACCATTAAACTTTGACACTGTTAATGAGAGTTAAAACTTTTGTGTGTAAAATAATCAGCTTATTCGGCTTCGTAAGGTAGGTTTGACAGAGCCCTAAAGTTTCACCAAAATCGCACCACTTCTGAAGGCAAACGGGCAAGTTTTAGGTGACCGAGAAAATCTTCCTGTAATATGGAGAAAAAATTGAGTTGGTCCAAATAAATGTGATATTTCTTCATGGGATAGGATAGTTATCTTCCACTGAAAAAATCAGGGCAATCCGTGAAACACCGAAATTTGCCTTATCGGTTCTTACGCGGACAGCCTCTTAATTCTTGTCAGGGTGTTACACAGAGCGCAGAGGTGTTATTTGTCTCTTTATACAGTGTAGCTGCTGTTATTCGTCCACAGTCATTACCTTCAGTGGTTTTCCGGAGCATTGGATAATATTTAACCAGGTTTGTAGGACGATCGCATGACGGTTTGCTTGAGTCAAAGGGAATGTGCGGTATCAACTGTAAAATTTAACTACAACAACAACCAAGGTCACAAATAACTCCTCTGTGCCCTGTGCGTGTTACACATGTATCTTGCTATACACTGCTTATGCTGGTGACGGTTTCGGCTCCCTACTGTGTACCCAGCGTACCCTTCAACCCTTTAATCCCCAATATCCACATACAAATTATCCACACTGATATTCATACATTTACTTAGAGATACGTTGAGAGAGTTAAATAAAAGATCAAAGCATTTTCTCTTTGGTGATCATTTAATTAATTCTCATAACCATTTCTCTTGACAATGTATGGATATCGTTAGGGGAAAATTGATGTTGGTCACCATCGGGACTTAATCCATGTACTAGTACACAATGTGATGGTGCCTGGACCCTGCATACCATTGACAGGGTTGTCATGGTTACAAGGTACACTCAGCTGCAGTTCTTGGCTCCACCAGACTCTTAGGTACTTCCCCTCCTTGTGCTCCTCTTTTGGTCAGTTCAAATTCCTAATGGAGTGTTCCCGCTGCAGAAAAACAATCGCTTCCTCCAACAAGGTCAAGCCACATTGCTAAAAAGAGCATGGCACCTAAATATAACATACATGTACATGTAAGCAGTCTTAATTTCAAACCAGCATATTACACGTTTTTGAAGAGTGACAAGTGAATATATACTGGTATACATCATTCTGCTCACCTTTTTTCCAAAGTATTTCTTGCTTAGTGCGGCAAATCCAAGAACAGTGATCAGACAAGAGCCAATACTAGAGAGATACAGCACCCTTTTAGCTACAACAAAACCAACTGTGAAGAGGATATTTGACGCTGGAAGGAATGGAACAGCAAGGATAGCAATTCCCATGGTTAGAGTCCTGAAAAAAAGAAGATTATCTCTCTTGTCAAACACAACATGCAATGAACTGCAAATTATGCAGTGTAGCAGATGTACATGTGTTATCAAGCACAGAAAATTGATGCTTGCATGATTGTATTATTTAAAGTTGGTATGATCATGTTTGTAGAATTTAGACCAATTTATTTTTCCATTTCTCCCACACGGACATTCTTAGGACTGCATCACACATTGACAGTTTTGCCCCATGACTGTTGGGGAGGACTGCATTACGAGCCAAAAGAATATCTGCTTGGGAGGCCTATTAATAATTATTCTAACACATAGACAATTATTACTGGAAAAAAGTAAGAGCCACAGGACCAAAGTACTGTTAAGTAAATGCATGTGAATCTTAACAACCTACAAGTTGAACAGTTAAGTAAAAAACAAGATGTTGATATATATTGGTCCAAGAATTCACTTTGCATTCACATCGGATAATTGACTGGCTCAGCTTAATTAAGGCATTCTCCCTCCCTTGGTGTTTGTGCCAGATAAACTTGAAAGTGATACATATGTGCTGGTGGCCCACAACTACATGGTCTGCCATTACATTTCTAATCAGAACAAAGTTAACTTTGTTTTCAGGTTACACAATACCAGAATGGAATATCACACCACATGAATTAAATTTGTATTCAAAACTGGAATGAACTCATTCCAGAATGACTTGTGTAGGAATGAAACTTTGTCTTTGTATCATTAAGTAAACATATACAGAGTAATAAAGTTATGGAGATGGGACGGACTCATTTCAAAATTAAAGTATGCTGTGAATAGCCCCTAAAAGAACCTTACCGTTTTATTTGCAAATTCCTCCCACATAAACAGAACGCAAGTAGCAAGAGAAGCACAGTCCACAGAGCAACAATGCAGAGTATACGTGGATCACTATATGTGTTGATTATTGGCACACAACCCATTGACCAATCAAAACAAAGCCATTGAGGTACAAGGAGAAGCCAGGCATTAATGGCATAGAGATAGTTACAATTAATTATCTGTGTGTGGAAAAATAAAACAGCCATTGCAGTTGATTCACTTAAATGTAATTATAATAACATTTAGTGAACTAATGAGTCAGCAAACTACTGAAATTAAACCAGTAAATTTGTATCTTTCTGGCCTATGTATTTAAGAAGGATGTACGTCAAAAGGATTAATGCCTTTATATTTTCATAACTGTGCTATAATCAATTGGCAAAATGAGTTTCTGTAACTTTCAAATAAAGGCCGCCCTCAAATAAGTGCCAGTCACCCTTGATTAAGAGCCACATTTGAGGCGCAAAAAAATATTCACTTATTCACTTATCTGCTTTTTGAGTAATGGTAATCAATTTATTGTAGCCTCCTATATAGGTGCATGCCCTCTTTCTACATTAAAAAGGATAATTTTAAAGGGACTGGTTCACGATAATGCGCATGCGCGCCGTTTGTCTCTTCATGAATAAATTTGTTGGGTCAACACTAAATTCGAAATCGCCATTACCGGTACAATCATTGAAAATCCTTCGTTTTATTCGGACATCCGTCGCTTTGGCTGGTCTAGTTATACTTCGGTAGTGGTGATTAACGTGTGATTGTGTCGTTTGACTGGTTACGTTTTAAGAAGACGCAAAAAATAATGTTTTGATCATGGAGGTTCAGAAGAGCATCGTGGCCGTCCGGCAACAGGACGTTCTCTAGAGTCTTTGGAGATAGAGAAGCTATTCAAATATTTTTTCAGGCTTCTTCTTTCCAATTGCTTAAATTGGAAAATTTAAAAAACAAACAAACAAAACATGACATTAAGTGGCCTGGAACCAGGCTCCGTAGTGGGGGAAAAAGGCAAAAAACGGGGTCAAAGAGGGAAAATATTGGCGAGTGAAGCGAGACGAACGATATCCAACGCTGCTTTTTGCTCCTTTTTCCCACAATGGGGAGCCTGGTCCCAAGCTAGACATTAATATATTGTTTGACTTATTAAAGATACCTTCAGCAGCAAAGTAGACTTGTTGACCCATGGAATTACATATCTTGTACTTGTTGTTGGTCTCAAATCCCACAATAGCTTTAAATATAGAAAAAGGTCATTCATTATGCTAAGTAAATGTCAAGCTAAAAGAATAAACTTGTCCTCCACGTCTTTTTACTGGTTTCCCCTTTGTTTTACACTGCGAGCAGAGGCTACATTTTCAGAGTATTAGCTGGCATGCGAAAAATAAAAAAGGATCATTTTTCTCCTGGCGAAAGATTTCGATCTTTATTTGAACAGAAAACCATGAGTTTCAACTTAAAGCTAAAAGATATTATTTTACACAGTCATATTAAAGTGTGCAAAGAAAGTAGTGTCCGATAGCCCATGTGTTATAAATTAAATCCATTGCCGATAGTAACACGTCCCCTATATTCCCTAAGGGTATTTCGGCATTCGACGCTATGTTTTTTAATTCAGTTTTCTGCTAGCAGTTGACAAGAAGAATTCAGATTTAGAAACCGAATACCCGGAGGGAATTCACGCTAGTGTAAGTAGTTTCTTCCTGGAGTTTTTCATCCTTTGAGCGAATTTCTCATCAGGATATTTGGGTTTTTCCTTTTTCAGCGAATCATTCTATTAATCCTCGAAATGTAGAAGGGAAAAGAAGCGAGCCCGATTTCGAAGCAGTGCCAAAATAATATATCAAATGAGAACATATGAATGCTAATTAACTTGAATTGTTAAAATACTAAGACACACTGAGAATCAAATGAATCTTGAAGAACAGCGAAACAACAACAACACCATGGTTAGTGGATAATGCTACCAGGCTAAGTGAATTCTGTTCTTAACTTGCCCAATGGGCAAGTGACATTTTTTGGGGGGGAATTCAAATTACAGATGAACAGATGAACTTCAATCAGTTCTGCTCATCAGAAATTTTGCTCGGGCTTAGGTTAGAATGACTTTTGGGCTATTACTTGCTGGCTGGCTTTGTTTGCACCGTGAGTCATGTACAGGTATATATTGTGGTGTATGTTGTTTTCCTTGGTTTGAATTTTATTTTTCTTTATTTTTGGGTATAATAATGTGTGTGATAATTAAGAGTTTGAAACAAGGAAAAATTAAAATTAAACCAAGGATAAAACTAAACCACAGCATATTAACTACAAACTTCTGTAAGTTGTTTAGGTAAGAAGAATACACAAACAACGTACCTTCTAAAAGCTCAGTTTGCTGTTGCACAAGCACTTGATCAATGGCAGTTAAATACTCCAGTCCAGGAGGGCAACCCATTGGTGCCTGAGGAGCCGGCATCCAATTCATTTGACCAGGAACACCTGCAAGAGTTATTGTCCGAATAACATCTCTTGAACAGCAAAGATCGACTTACAGAATGTAATCTGGCAGAAAGTGGGGGCCTTTTAATGCCTTGTTTTTCTCATAAAAAATTATCAGAGCCAACAAGATGGGGTAGTTTCATAACCTCCAATAACCTGCCCTGGCTATGCCCATACATACATGTACTTCACAAGATGAAACACATGTTGCTTTCCTTGTATATTTTTCATGGACAGGTATTGAGTTTTTTAATATATCTACCTAGAAAAATAACTAGTGTTTACCGGTTTTATGTACACATCACTATTTCTTTGTTGTAGTCATGAGGACCATTCAGCTGACCAAGCATGGCCAACATAAAACCATCAAGTCTCTATCTCTAAGTTACCAAAGACTGATTGAATTAATTTCTTACAAAGCTGTTAAATTTGTAGGCCAGTAGAGAAATGGCACAATTTGCCACAAAGAGACCCTTTTTGCCACACATAAATATGTAGCTCAACATGTTTCAAAATTTCCCAGGCACAATATTAGTCATAAAATGCATGATTGATTTTCATTAACTCTCTTGTTCTTAGACCAAGCTATATGGCAAAATTAATTTTTCATTCTAACTTATTTTCATTCTCTTTCAAGTGGCCTTAAGGTGGAAACCTGAAGCGTGGTTTCGACACTTAAAGTCACTTTGATACAAGTTGTTTTGATATGAACTGAAGCCATGAAACAACTCAACAAATATCCTAATCACTTTCAAGTATTGTTTGCATTCAAACAAGAAAAATATTTGGTGTGAAAATTCCTTGTTCTTTTAGCCAAGTATGTGAAACTAATTAAACCTTGACTGAATCATCTCCTATCAAAAAGACAAGGTATGTGTAAGTATCCATTTTATCATTTTCTGAAAAATTCATGACAATTACCCATACTTGCCAACCCCCAAAAGGCGAAATTGAAAATATGTGAGACTCTGAACCTAGAGCTGGGAAAAGTGGTGGGAAATGGGTAAAAAGTCATGAGATATCCCAAATTTCCTACAGAAAGGACTTCCAGTGGGGATTATGGGTAATTGGAAGTCACACATCACTTCAAAGCCGCAGCAGTAAATTAAACACCACAATCAATTTTACAATTTTGGTTTTGTAATTTCTATGTTTTGTTGGTGGCCATCTTGAAACAAGAAAAACAGTAAGTCTGCACATTTGGTGGTAGCGGCAGGTTGCGGTAGGGTAAAAGAACGTAATCAAATGCGCCTGCTAAGTGATATTTTTGGATTGAGCTGGCTATGTATTGATATCTAACTTGGAAATAAACCCTACAACTCCAAAATTCTTTTTGGAGTTTGACTTTTCGTTAAAGCATGATAAATCAGTTGTCAACTCGTGAGAGCTTGAAATAGGTCGTAAAACCGTCAGAGTCAAGACAAAGTGGTGGGACTTAGCAAGTTCGATAACCATAGCCATTTAAATTCTGCTAATTCCACAAATTCTTAAGATCCTGTTCGAACTAAAATTCATCTTTGAAATCTGGATAGCATTCTGACAGCTGTGTTTGATTTGACTTACTGTGCTTTTCACAAACATGCGAACTCTAAAGTTCAAAAGCCGCTTTAGCAATTGCGTTTTTCGCTGCCGTCAATCATAATTCGCATGTTTGTGAAAAGCGCAGAAATCCAGAAAATTATTTAGTAATATAGGACTTAAAGCAAATTATCAAATAACAATAATAAATTTGTTATGGTAGGTCAATTTCTCCTGCAATAAAAAACCAAGGTATTAAAAAGCCTTTTAGCCTCCAGGAAATTCCGCTTTAGAGCTTATGAAAACATTACATGCATTATATTGTACATTCGTAGCCAGCTATTTCAAATTATAAACAATCGAAAAGTATGAATATTCAGAATATTAAGGAGCCCTACATAATTTTGTAAACATTACATGCATTATGTACATTTGTAGCCAGCTGTTTCAAATCATAAACAATCGAAAAAAAGAGCATTTTAATGTGTGACATGTCTTTTGGTTTTTGCTGTTTTAGTGCGCTGAATTGTCACCACAGGGCTTCTGATATTTCGCGGGAAAAAAAGCGAAATTTCGCGGGATTTTAAGGAGCAAATTCGCGGAAAAATTGGCCGATTTCGCGGGATTTTCGCGGGAAAAAAGAAAAAATTCGCAGGAAAATCGGCCGATTTCGCGGGATTTTAGCAGAAAAAAGTCAATTTTCGAAGGATTTTCAGGGGGCAAATTCTTAGAAAAATCGGCCGATTTCACGGGAAATTTCGGGGGGAAACTTCGCCAAGAAACAATCAGTAAAAAACAGTCGATTTCGCTGGATTTTTTTTGGCAAATTTCGCTAAAATCGATCAATTTTCTGTCGATATGACCAGCGTTGGTGAACGTTTTTTTAACAGGAATAATGATTTGCTCTTTCAACAACTGTTCGCTGGCGAAATGACCGAATGCTAAAGCTATTAAAGAATCTCACCCACCCAGTTTGCATTGCGCGCCTTTGTTGTTGTTGTTATCCGGGATATGCTTATAACGCTCCCATATTTGGTCAAAGATAAGCCAGGTCCAGACAAGCGTGAAAGGTCACATTTGTTATGGAAATTGAAGGAGACAGCGAGCGTGATTTTTCAGAAAGTGACCTTTCTGATGAGGAAATTGAGGTCAACGCGTATGGATCGCCGATTAGAACCGTAAACAGGGCTCAAAGCCGTGAAACCACCGTTACCGGCGCAGTCGCTGCGCCAAGTACCAGCGACGCCGACAGCAATCGCGTGGTAAGAATCCGGTCAAACTAAAAATTTTGTATTTGTGTCGTTTCAGTTACCCGTTGTTACTGCTGTGACTAACTTCAGCTCTATTCGCTGTAGGTTTGCACTTGTAAAAATACTTGCAGCCGCAAGAAAAGTGCAAGATACGCAGGCTGTCCGTGCCAAAACGCGAACCTAAAATGTTCTACAAATTGCAAGTGTGGTACAAAGAAAGCACCTTGCAAAAACCAGGTCGCGGAAGGGCAGGAGATCGGAAATCCGAGTGCTTTTGCCCGCCACAGGCAAGCTGTAGAGGACTCTCAGCGCGAAATAAAGGTTTGTTTACGAGGTTATAAAATTCTATTCAAGTTAGTTTACTTACCTGGATCATGTATGCAAATTATTCCAGACTCGGCGCATCCCCCGTATTATACACCTAAGCTTTGATATATTTTTATTTAAGCCTCGCCTTTCTCTTTTCTTTTTGTAGGAGTTTGTGACCAAACTATCTTCTGACGATAAAGACCAGCTTCTTATTAGGCTGCTGAGTCAAGGACGCGGTAGCCTTGAATTTGCTAGAAACATGCTAACCGGAAGCGATGACATTGACCCGCCATCGCCTCAACCAGAGCAAAATATACCTGAAACTTGGTGTACTTGTGGTGTCTGCAGGAGAATGCCGGATGAACAGGAAAACGTCTGTTGCAAAAAGAGGACATGTGTAACTTCTTATGTCATGTTTAACACGGTTTGCCTCGATCGGGAAGTGCTGCAATTAGCTATAAGAGCCAGGTGCGACATCCGCGCGGACGAACCCGATTACTCTACTCAAAGTTACAGGAAGGCCGCTTACCGGCAATACACATTGTGGAAATTTGGTAAACTTGGTAGAGGGAATCGAAAAATATTGCCTTCTTGTGTAGTAATAGTTATTCGTCAAGCATATCCCGCACCAGACGGTAATTACATGGGTTTTCGCCGTTCTTAGCGTTAGAAAAAAAAATATCTTGCGCCATGAAAGGGAATCCGGATTCCGGAATACAGAAAATTTTTGATCGTGGAATCAGAAATCCTGGGTTTTGGCATCCAGAATACAACTGAAGAAATCCACAATCCCACTAATGATTGAAATCCAGAATCCAAGTTCTAATAACAAATGCTGGAATCCATTGTGGATTCCAGAATCCCAGACTGTCCTGATTCCCTCACATGGGGCAAAATACCTTTATTGTTATTGATACAAATAAGTAGAGAAGTGCAGTTATGTTCTATTTCTTCACTGTTCTTGTTTATTATACATTCAACCCTCTAAGCTGGACACTTTTGGGACCAGCAATAACTGTTTCTCAATGAGTATTGTGTGTCTTCTACTCAGTCAAAGAAAGGGAGTGTGACTCAAGGACCAAGTGTCTGCCTTACAGAGGTGTACTACTACAAATGGAGAAATGCAAACTATGTAAAGAAAGACAACATGTAGTTTTATAGAAATGTTTACTTGTTTATTATTTACTGACAAAAAATGCTTTTAAATTTCTCTTTAGAAATTTTTTTCTGTTGAATCGTAACAACCAGAAATGTCACAACAGTATTTATAGCCCACTTCTTTCTTTTAATTATGCTCAAATTAAATATGATGTAACATGAAACAATTCCCTAAGTTGATGTCTGGTTCTCATGTTCAAAACTATATTCATCTAAAATTACTATATTCAAACCCAGTGCTGATAATCTGACTCCTAATGGGAAGCAAGGACAAAGTAGTGATTAGAGCTCTCACATACCACCAATAAGGTTGGGGTTCCAATCACAGAGGTATGCAGTTAGAGCAATTTTCAATTGAGTGTTGAAAGTAATCCAGGATTGAATTGGTTTTGCTTTACTGTGCTGTTTGATTGGTATAGAAAACTCGCGCCACCCTCTCAGCCAATCAGATGTAAACTAAAACCAATCGCTCCTTGGTCACTCGTGTTTTCCCGCTCTACAGACCGGTTACACGAGTTTACTTCGAGTTGTCATTGGCTCCCTCTGATAATTTCCTTTACTCTGAATGGCCGTTGTGATTACTTTGGTTTTGGTTTTCGACACTCAATTGAAAAGCGCTCTATATGGGAGGCTTTGTTCTTTGTGGATTATCCCTTAAAAACCTGCTTCTTTACATTACCAGTTTACCTTCAATATTTTAGATGAAGAACTGTGGGAAAATTTGCAACCACTGACAATAACAATAATTATT